AGTGCAGAGACGCGCCCTCCACATTCTTGGCCCTGATGTCCTCCTCCAGAGTTTGGCAGTAAGGAGATTGGTCGCCGCCCTAAGCTATGCCAGACACATCAGTTTATACATTGTATAAACTGATGTGTCTGGCAGGGCCACCGCAACTACCGTCGCTGGTCCCCCCACAGCTTCCTCCACCAACATGTCCTCGAACTCGGTTCGACCACTCGGTGCGCCACGAGTCTCAGCTACAGAACGTCCTCCCGGCTTCCTCTCCTGATTACGTGCGACGCTGCTTCCCCTACAGCATCATTGATGAGTGGAACAACTCATTACTTGCCCCCAACTGTGCTGCAGTCTTCCCCACGCCTGACGTCCCTCCAGTCGTTCAAGGGCAAGGTGCATCAGCACCTACGACAAAGCCGCTGGTATTGGGCTACAGACTCGCTGTAACACCCCATAATATCCACAATCAGCTCCCTCCCCCTCACTTATCTATTTACACGTGTTTCGTAATCCCGTCCATGGTGCGCTGGATAGCGCTAACGCCGAGACCCTCGCCTAGGTCGGCGTTGCTAGTCCCGCCTCACCGGCACAGGCTCCCTGAGAGCCCCTACTAGTCTTCGCAACGACCTCAGTCGCCCTACCTGTGAAACAGTGTGGGTGGAGCTTAAACCTTGTTCCGGCTCCCCAAAGCCTATTATTGTCTGTAGTGCCTATCGCCCACCCTCTGCCAAAAGCACAGAGGTAAATCACTTCTGTAACATGCTCACCGATGCCCTGGTCACTATCCCCATGTCCTCGTACCACGTCATACTGACTGGAGACTTCAACTGTAAGCACCAGCACTGGTGCCCAACTGACTCAACGTCCCCCGCGGGAGCTGCGCTCTACCGCCACCTCACCTGCTTCGGACTAGAGCAGCTTGTGAATACCCCAACGCACACAACACCTGCAAGGACCCAGTCGTGCTTAGACCTTCTCTTCGTCAACAACCCCCAGCTTGCAACGGATATTAACACGACTTGCGCTCTTGGATCCTCGGATCATCTGACCGTGTCATGTCGGTTCGAGCTCTCACCATCGCCTGGCCAACATCTGCAGCAAGCACCACGCAAACATTTCCCGTACCGCTATCGTCATGTCCCCTCTCACTGCTGGGACTCTCTTAATTCCGATCTCTCTCATTGTGACTGGTCATTTCTACGCCCAGGCAATTCCCCAACTGTTGACGACGCAGTCGATCGATTTTCAATCGTCCTGGAACAAACCTTCCAGCACCACCTCGCTGATTTTTCCACCCATTCTTGTCGGTCAAACACACGCACATCGTCTGTGACATCCAATCCACCCTGGGCGTCGACTGTCCTCGTATCTGCGGTGAAACGTAAACGAGACCTCTTCAGTGTCAGCCGAAAATTTCCAACACCTGTCAATATGGAGGCCTACCGAGCTCAACGCAACTTTGTCAAATACCTATCCCGTAAAACCTACCGCTCTTACATCAGCTCCCTCTCTGCAACAATCTCATCACCCAATCGTCCTTCTCTCTATCAGTTCATTCGCACCCAGCGTCCCAGTGTCTCTCGCGCCCCAATCCAGTGCTTGATTGATCCTGATGGCAACCGTCAGTCTGAGGCAAAGTCCATTGCGGACACTCTGAACAAACAGTTTGTCTCTCCCGGCCTTCCCGACGATCCGAACTGGGTTATCCCGCCCCTGCACCCAGCTCCAGAGCTGCGCGCTCCACTTCTGGAGGTCTTTACAACAACTGGTGTGGTCCGCAAACAACTGAAACGTCTTAAGAGCTGCAAGTCTCCTGGAAAAGACGGTATTCCAAATGAAGTCCTTAAACTGCTGGTGCCTTCCTTGTCGTATCCCCTGTGCTTGCTCTTCCACTTGTCATATCGTGCAGGAGTCTTCCCATCTGCGTGGAAATCTGCTATTGTTGTCCCGATCTTTAAGAAAGGACAACGCTCCCAAGCTGTTAATTACAGGCCCATCTCCCTCCTACCAACTATATCCAAGGTCTGTGAACGCATCTTCTATGAATCTCTCTACCACCATGTCACCCCTGCCCTCTCCTCTGCACAATCCGGCTTCTGTCGTGGCGACTCAACTACTTTGCAATTGACACGCTTAATCCAGGATATTTACGGACATCGTAACCTGAAGAAGCATGTAGGTCTTGTCTTTTTTGATCTGTCAAAAGCGTTTGATACAGTCTCGCATCGAGGCCTACTTGCAAAGCTTGAGTACATTTTTCTAGTACGTGGTACAGCTCTGCAGTGGCTGTCGTCATATTTGTCGTCCCGTCATCAAACTGTCCGTGTCTCTGCTTCCTTGTCCGATCCTTTACCTGTAGTGTCTGGTGTTCCACAGGGGTCCATACTGGGTCCACTCCTTTTCCTAACTTATGTGAACGATCTGCCCTCTCTAGTTCCAGACGTCAGCCTTTTTGCTGATGACACTGCACTGTTGTGCTCTGACAGCTCGCGTCCAACCTCGTTACCTCCATGCAGACCGGCATTAACTCCACCATAGCATGGATGGAAGCTTGGAAGCTGAGGCCCAACATCGCGAAGACCGAAGCAATGTTCATCAGCCCATCGCCGCCTACTCAGCCGTTGCACTTTCCAGGAGCCAATGCTAACGTTAAAATTGTTCATGAACACAAACACCTTGGTGTTATATTCGACAGCCATATGTCCTGGTCCCCACAGGTCCAGTCAGTATGCAAGCGAGCTAGCTCCTCCCTTGGCATGTTGCAACCTCACTGCCACCATTTAAATGACCATTGCCGAAAATTGTTCTTTACGTCGTATATTCTACCTATATTTGATTACTGTGACACAGCGTGGTGCGGTCTGTCTCAGGCCCTTGTTCAAACTCTGGAAATACACCAGCGTCTGCTTCTAAAAATCCTGTTTCGCAAAAATCAAACATTCTCCTCCCAACGTCTCTACAGTTTAGCTTCAGTATCTCCCCTCTTAGAGCGACACCAGCAACATCTTTGCATCCTTGTACACATGATCTTATTAGACCTGGCTCCAAAACACTTTGCTAAGTATAACTGGTTTGTGTCCACCAGATCAACACGTCATTCCTTCTGATTACCCCGTGCCAATACCTCCCTGTTTCTGAAATCTCCATCTTCTCTGCGTACACTCTCTGGTCTTCCCTGCCAACTAGCCTTAAAGCATGCACAGACATTAAGGAGTTCAAGCTTCAGCTTCTTCGTCCTAAATAATCTCACCATTTTCGTCATGCCTCCCCTTGCAGTACTCTCTTTGTTTCTCTCCTTATTATTCAGTTCGCCGTGGTTGGCTACCACCCGACTTCTCATATAATTATATTGGCAGTCTTCTGACGAGCCAGGAGATGTTGAATTAATAATAATAATAATAATAGTACATTGTCTGTCTTTCTCCTTTGTTGTCTCGATCATTATTTTCTTTTGTCTTCTTCTTCTTCTCCTCTCTTTGTTATGGTCTATCAGCACAGTAGGAGGTGCATTCTGTAAAAAAATAAAAAAATAAAAAACTCCTGCAGCGTCTGATTGCTAGCTAGCTAGCTGTTCCTGTACATCTACCTGAGCCTGAGGGCGTAGGTCTACCGGTAATAATACTTGCCCCACATGTAGCGAATGGTACAGTGCTGGCAACTGAAATCCGACACCCTAGCGGTGCGTCCACGTTCTATCGGTCTCTGTTTCGTAGTTTTACCATCCTGTAATACTCGTAGATCTACTGGCCATGGCTGTGTTGGGTCTTTGCAAATGCAATGTGAGCGCACCGCTCAGGGGTCGGATTTCAGTTGCCAGCACTGTCCTCTGTACGAGGTGATTCGTAATTTTTTAACATTGAGTCATTTCTTTTAAAACAAATCGGTAAAATATCTCATTGCCAGCCTACTGTAGCCGGGGAGTAGCCCCTGCAACAAGCCATGTCAAATTTCTTTTTGCCATTGCCATTGCCAATGTTCTGTAATTATTTTTATTTATTATTAAGTTCGCCTCCAAAATTGAGACTGATATTCCTTTAGGAAGTGACATTGCAAGAGCTTTCAGTCTGCACTGATGTGCGCGATGTTTGCGGTAAAATAGAGTATAACTTATACGAGAGTCATAGCCGCTGGTTTCAACCTCCAGTGACAACACATTTTGCTGAAGAGGAAGCATAATAAAGCCATGATAGCTACATACTGGAAACGACGCCTGGGAAGGAGGAATGTCGGTGTGTTGGGACTGTTGGCCCTGGTATTGGCCAAACATTGGCAATTACTGAATTTACTCACAGATCAGTGTTGATCACAATATTGCATATGAAATCAGGGTGATACATCTATTGCTATGCAAGCTTGAATGGCTTGTGTAAAACTAAAATACTTGGAGCTACAAGCTACATTTTCAGAGACAGGGAGTTGCAAGTGCGGCAAGAAACCCAGCTTCCCTTCACCTTTGGCATCACGAGCAATGACCATTATTTTATCAGCCAGGAATGTTACTACAAAGGCGCTGGCGGGAACAGAAAGAGCAACGTTTCTTTCTCAGCAAAAATAAATAAAAAGGAAAGGAAAGGAACAAAAAAGGCTCAACACCAGGGATTTGTCCATACCCGGTACCCAGGTGTGTACCCCTGGAAAGGCTCTCCCACAGATTCCAGTACAAAGGCCACGGCCAAGTGTCCCACTGAGATGCGGTCGCTTGCCCGGACCGCTGGGACGCGGACACCTTAATTATACGTATGTATACGAAGAGCAGCCTGTGACGTTTATTTTTTATGACAGAAAATCCGCAAAAAAAGTTGGGCTTGTCGGGCCTTTCGCGCATGTGGTGGGATCAAGGCCGCGCGGCGCGCGCGCACATCTGCACGTGACGTCACCTTTTTCCATTGCCACAGATATTATTTGTACGCTTGGTACTTTGGTGTGTACGCGTCGTAGTCTTGCGTACAGGTTGGGTACAATAATTTTAATTTATATTGCAATAATTATAATGTGACGAAGTCAGTCAAGAACATTCATGATTCAGTCATAGCGCTTTCTGTTTATTACTTTCAAAAGTGTCTGGGTGAAGAGAGGCCATTGTTTTGTGACGGCGAGGACATACTACCTGTGGTCTATTGTTAGTTACTCCTGTGACTAATGGGCTGGGAAACAGAATGCCAGATGACCCTTTGGTTAATGATTTTGCCTGTCGTGTTGAATGATGAAGATTTAGCCAAATAGTGTCTTTGAGGAAGACGATTCTTCGTGCTGCCATGGCTGGGTCTCGCCGAATCACTGGGCAGTGTTGTCAGCCGCTGGTTGACGAGTTGGACAATTGTAAGTTGCGCCTGCGAGAGCGGTGGCATTTTCTTTCATTTGCTCTGTTCTGCACGACTCATTTCACAATGATATGCTATTCTCAATGATTTACACACACAGACTTGGAACGAGTCGGAGATGAAACCACCGAGGAGCAAACTGAAGTGCTGACATCTAGTGACATCAAATTCGTCACAAGGCTGTTGCAAATTTGGCTGAAACGGTAAGGATGAAAAACTTTCTTGTTTGCCAGTTTCGCCTTTGCTTTCTCAGGTTTGTAGAACTTTGTACACTCTCCGATTTTGTGGTACATTAGAGAGGTTCCGGGGTACGATTTTCCGTGCCAAAATCCGTGTGGGCGCTACGGATTTTTTTCAGGCGTGCTCCATACGATTTTTCGGCACGGAGAATCCGTGTGGACTGGCTTTCACACGAACCGTGTTTCGTATGGAGATTTTGCGTCATCGGGTGCAGAAAGATTTTTCGCGTACAAATTTGGTACGAGAAACATGGATTTTCCGCGGGAAGTTTTGATTTCGGTACAAATTTTCAAAATAAAAAGGCATAGCGCGGGAATGTGACGTGTTTGCGATCGTAACCTAGGCAATGACGGCAACACATAACTTCCGTACCCCGGAACTTTTCACTGCTCGAAAACGACGTATAAAAAATCCGTAGCGCCTCCACGGATTTTGGCACGAAAAATCGTACTCCGGAACCTCCCTATTATAATATACATGTATCGTATGTAGCAGCAGTGTACCAAGTAAGTATTACCGTACTAGATCTCGCTAATCATCCAAGCACAGTAAACGCTACAGTAAGTAAACGCTGGTAAATGCATTCATACGTTTGTTTGATTAAGAAATTTTCCTTTAATTTTGTTCTTCTACTTCTCTGGTATTATGGTGTGGACGACATATGGATGTATGTACTGCTTGAATAATTGGGAAAGCTTCCAATTAGTTCTACAAATCTGGCTAAGGCCGCAACCACACTACGTAAAAACCACAGTACAAATTTTCGTGCATACCGTATTATCTCTAATATAAGCACGGTCCTTTATTTTTTCAATGTACCTCCGCCCCGTGGTGGAGACGTTCCTTTATTGGAGACTGTTCCATTATTATTTCAACCTCATATCAGAGGCATGTTGCCATACCAAATTCATGTCAGACACACATATTTCAGGGTTTTTTCGCCGGTACAGATAATGAATTTATACAGGGTGCTTATAATGGAGACTGAGCACTTTATTTTTTGAATGCCGCCCCAAGGTGTTCTATTATTGGAGACGTGCTATTATTGGAGACTGTGCTTATATTAGAGATTATACGGTATCTCAGTACAAGTCGGTACGCAACCACACTACACCTGTCGGTCTGCATAGGTGACGTTTTCACGCGACCAGCATGTGACGTTGTCGTACCGAAGCGTGTGTTACGTGCTGGAAAAGACGGGAAATTCTAAAACAATGCTGATGTTGATGCTATACGTACGACGACCAGGTAGAAAAAAGTTACACAGGAGATAGAGCGCGAAAACGACAAATGTGGCTTTCTACAGGGGTGCGCCAGTTGCTGAAAACCTACAAAAAGCATTTTTCATTTCGTACGCGTCGCCATGACGATTTCTACTGTAATGCCGTTTGTACGTGATTTTGTACCTAGTGTGGTTGCAGCCTAAAGCAGTCATTAGATGTTGAGAAATGTTTGCCCAGCAATTGTAAGTCATATGGATTGTACAGTGGAGATTGGATATAACGACCTTGGATATAACGACAAATCGAGTTTAGCGGCAAAATTCTGTTGCCCAAGTCGTTTAGCAAGTCCTTTCTGTACATGATAGATCGGGCATAACGACCTCGAAAATAACGACAGATTGAATTTACCGTAAAGGACCGTTGATCCCCCCCCCCCCCCCCCCCACGCCATGTCGCTTCCCAGCTGGGTTTTCACTCAACTTTTCAGCAGGGGGCGGGAATTAGATCAAGGCTGTCAAGTGCAGTGCGATGGACAACAACATGGAGGATCAGACTCGATGTGCTGGATTGTGCACATTTTCATCCTGGATTGGCACGTATTGTCTCTTTGTCTGTCTAATCCTATATATAGGATTTTTCCCAATTTTTGGGAAAGGGTAGATCACACCTTACAAAGTAAAGTTCTTTCTTCAAATGCCTGTTGGAGTCTGCGTTCCATGTTTATCAGAGATGATGTCTGCCAAGTTTCACCAGCACAAGGGCTTTACTTTTTCTGTAACAGGCCCTCTCGTGCAAAGGTGTCCAGAATTTTAAAAATTCTATATATAGGATTTGGCCTCTTCAAAACTTGGTTTTCAACTTTTGTACTTCCCAGTTTCTCCTGCCAATAAAAACCCTAATTGGCAATATCCAATCCTAGATACCGTACGCACGCGAATACAAGCCCCCCCCCCCTTCGAATAGAGCTCCCTCTCGAACAGAGCCCGTCCCTCAGGCTGTGTTTACATGAAGCGTTTCAACCCGGGTTGAGTTCGACCCGGGTCAGATTTCAACCTGCCATGTACACGAAATGAATGGCGCGTTTACATGACGCATTGCGCTTGACCCGCGTTGAAATTTCGCCCCGGGTTGATTTCAACCCTCCCCCCCCCCCCCCCCAGGGGAGGGTAGAAATCAACCCGGGTCAAGAAAATCGTACAAACGTACTTCTGTGCGTATCTCGCGCCAGGTTTGAACGGCACTGCAGATGCAAATTTCGCACGAACGGATTCACGTGACCACACAGGACTGTAGAAGTGGACTTTTGGCGGCAAATCAGTATTTCACCCGGGTCAACTGTCTTCATGTAAACGCTCACCTCTTTTGTCTATTGTACAGACTTTCAACCCGGGCTGAACTCGACCCGGGTTGAAATTTCTCATGTAAACACAGCCTCAGAGGCATTCGAAGTAATACAGCCCTGTCTCGTATAAAAGCCCGGGGCTCTAATCGAGCGCCCACACTCCGTACGTTGTAGTGCAGTACATGAACCATGTACGGTATGCACGATCAACACAGTGTGCTTTGCGGATCACTAGATCCATATTGGAGGTACGGGATCGCTCTAGCCCTCTGGGGTCAACGTAGAGACATGCAAAAATGGGAACACACTGCGCCAGAAACGGATGTGTGCAATCACCTTGAAAGGTGTGAAAAATTGATGTTTCTATTGAAAAAATAAAGCCCCCTCTCGAATAGAGCCCCCTCTGGGTGTCTTCTGGAAAAATAGAGCCCCGGGGCTTCTATTCGCGCCTATACGGTATGGCCCATGTGGAGCTAACAAAACAATTCTATGCACCTATGGCTATAGAAGAAGCACCTCCTAGGCTAGTACCCCAAGAGTATTCCACTATCAATATGTGTACAATACAATGTCATGTACTTGAATACAACTGATTTAGTAAATGCCCCATACATGTAGTGTCTTTAGTTCATATTGATCTGCGAGCACTTTACAACACGACTTCAATGCTAGAATGGTGCTAATATTCATCTTTTCCACTCCTAGTCTATTTCTACCACTTGTAATTGCAATTCATCAGCGATAATTGCACCCCTCTAGAGACCTTTCCTGGGGGTCGTAGCCATTGGGTAACCTCTATTCATTCATCTTAAAGAAAGAGATGCATTGTTGGAAGGATCGAAATGCATCTTCAATAACATTGCTTCCACTTCGACCATTTTCGAGGCTGCAAATGTGTCTTGAAGTTTAATCCTGTATAATTTATTATAGGATTAACTGGTGACAGACAAAGAGATACAGCAGTGCATGCGTCGGTTCAACATCATATTTCGTTGTATACACCGAAGTCGCTTCACAGGTAGAAAATCGACAGGGGGCGGATCAACGGTACTTTACGGTGCTGACACTTTTTTGGTGCCCGAAGACCTAAAAATGCATCGAATATAACGACTTTCCTGTTGTATCAGGCGGAGTGGCATGCATGGGACATGTCTGTGTCACATGCACGGGTCACTCCGCGCGTGCTGGTCATTGCACAGTTCAGCGGTGTGGTTGCTATGCGTGACTTTTGGCTTGAACTATGCATGCAAGACACATGTACATTCACATCTGAAATTCATATGCATTATTATTATTATGCACATGCATAAACTGGTCTTCTGCAGCATTTCGCAGTCCTGCGAGGCACACTGAGTACGCCTGTCATTATATTGTACGAATGGAAATCCCGAAGTAGTGGACTCTACAGTGATGCGTCTATCCTGTATGCTGCAAAAGACGCAGGAAATGTGACTGGTGTCTGTACACTAGACGCCAACATCCCAGTCTTCTCCTGCACTATCCGTTTGACAGTGACATTATGCAGTGGGTCGACATTGACCCAGTTTGGCAGCTATCTGCCTGGGTGGATGTAGCAGGTTTGCATTGGCTCGTCGTCCAGTCCGGAATTTTCTTGTAAACTGTGGAATACCGGCAGGGTTTGTAATCATCCCTGTTCACTTCAATATTATGCACACACAACGTTCCCTTTGTCACTCATCTTATCCCGAGCAATGAATTTGCTGACGATATTGCGTCACACTTGCCGCTGCTGCGACGACTGGTTTGTCACTGGCGGTGACCAGGCTGACTGACTAGCTTCAAAAAAAGAGCTCGGCGGACCCCGGTCTTTTACTCGGCCTATATTTCCCATTTATACCTCACTCCATATACACTTACAGTCTTATGCATGCTCTCCCTTAGTGGTGTATATATCTCCATATACACCGCTAAGGGAAATTAGCAGTAGTTGTCTTCGAGGAACAAGCCATTAGCCTATTAGGAGATCACACACCGTGAATATGGAGAGGTATAAATATATTATAACAAAGGGACCTCGTGTATATCGAGATATATACACCAGTTATAAAAACCTCGGCTTTGCCTCGGTTTTCATACTGGTGTATATACACTCAGTTCCTTGTTACAAGTATATATTGTAAATATAATATTATAACAAGGAACCGAGTGTATATGTATAGAATAAACACCGATGTCGTAGTGTTTATGGGAATATAAACACTGTCTGTAAAAACCGAGGCGTAGCCCAGGTTTTTACAGACAGTGTTTATGTAGAGCCGAAGAAAAGCCAATAAAATTAATACTGTTTATAAAATACCACTAAGGCCAATAAATACTGTTTATAAAATACTCCTTTTTAGGGAAAAGTGCAGTGCTGCATGGAAAAGTACAGTGGTATTTATTGAGTCAAGCAAGTTTATTTGAATTTGATACTGTTGATGGTGTGGTCACTAATGAGTATGGGTATTATTTTATCAAAGGTCAATCTATTATATACATAGAGGACTGTAACTGGTCACTGATTGATTTTTAACAGATTGCATTTCCCTCTTGTGTTTCTTTTGGCTAGATCTTGTCCCTGCTTCGGCCACCGTGCGGAGGACATATCACGTGTGTGTGTTGACTTTGTGGCCAGCGCTGTTGAAAAATTGAAGTTGATCGCTAAAGCAGATTTGACTGCTGGCGGAGTACAGGATGATCTGATACTGCTGAGAGATATGACGGAGGGAATGGTTTTGCTGGTGAATGAACCCATGCTCCTCCTCATTTCCATGCCAATCAGCAATCGGAAGCCGCTGCAGGTGAGTTCTGCATTGAATATTCGCATATACACTCGGACGTCTCTTATCCGGGCACCTTGGGACCGGGCACTGCCCGTATCTCAGATTTGCCCGTATCTCAGAATAACTCATCTACCATGTATAATATCTTTTTTTAAAGTGTATTTGGCACGTATTTCACATGTTCAGGATACAAAAAGAATCCATTGAGAAACGTGTGCTGATTCCACAGGTTGGAAGTGACAACTAAGCACTTGTGCATCCAAAAAATGCTCAAAACCCCAAAAAATTCTAAGTATTTTTGCCATAGGAACTCAAGCTGAAGGTGCCCGGTAGAGAGACGTGCCCGTATCTAAGGCGTCCAGATAAGAGACGTTTGAGTGTACACACAAATATGTGTGTGTGTGTGTGTGTGTGTGTGTGTTTCACTGGCCAGAAAAGTCACTTCATAGCTGTGTGGTGTAGACCAGGCTGAATGGTGGCAGTCAATTCTTTAGCCTGGCAAGCTGTTGAATGGTGCAATCCGAGCACAAGTTCCTATGGCTTCTGCTGGCGTCAAATGGTCAATGGTGTGTGTGTGTATGTGAGTGTGTGTGTTCATGAGTACATATGGCTTCCCTGGCTGGAAGCGCACTTTTAGGGTTGGTTCACGTAAGCAAAATCGGCGCCGCAAGACATCGCAAGACATCGGCGGTGAGACAGCTCCCGATCCATTGCGCATACGGTTCGAGTACCAAATCTACTACAAAGTAGTACAGAATGTGCCTAAATGCTACAACAGGTTTGCCAAGTGAAGCCTGAATTCTTTGTTTCTTCAGTAGTTCAAGGTCTTTCGGTGATGGCCACTCGGTGCTACCTTTTACTGGAGATCATGAAACTACTTCTACACCTTTTATTGCAGTCTAGTAAGCGGTGGTGTTGAAATTATGCGTGCAAACGTTGATGAAGTCACACGAACTTGTCAATGTATCCTTTTGTATTTTTTATTTATTTCAATTGTATTTGTCTCATAAGTTGCACAACAGTCAAGCAGATCATCCGAGAAGGACGGGTTGGTATGCTGACTTAATTTGCCACCTTGAAACAACTACCAGAATGGCGAACGGACCTCATCTTTAGCTTCAATTTAGGAAAATTTATGATGAGTCTTGGTGTGAAATTTTGACTAAGTCTGACTCCCGGCACCGGCGCGAACGGTTCACTTTTGCTCAAGATTGTACGGGATCGGCGCCGGGGCAGATCGCAAGAGTTGGACACTGTCCAACTTTGCCGTCCGTGCCTTGCGATATTTTACCGTATGATTTTGTTACGACTGCACTGGTTCACATAATCACAATGCGCCGGGAGAGGTTGCAAGAGGCCCACTCCCGGTGACTCCCGGCGCGTACCGGCGATATGTGTTGTGGGACCAGGCTCAATAAAGGCGGTGAATTGTTTAGCGTGAAAAGCTGTTGATATGGTGCAAGTATTGGTTTGTTGTTGTATGTGTTGGTCACTCCTCGGGAGCAAATGCATGCCTAGGGTGTACTAGTATTGAGAAGTTAAAGTAAGTTAGGAGTGAAAGATAAGATGACGAGGACTCATGAATGAAATTAATGAGCAGATGTGGAAAATGCAACACAAGCGTAAAGTGAAATTGGCTATCAGTGTCTGCTCCATGATTTCAAACCAACCGGGTACACGTGTACCTGGCACAACTCTTGCAACCGGGTCAGAGCCGGGTATGTTCAAGTGCGGCTACTGTACTGTACATCAGGGAGTCGTAGACTAAAATATTTGCCAAAAGCATTAGGGCTTCGAAGTGTGACATCAGGTCCTTGACAACTTCGTAGCAACTGGGTACAAACAACTATTGCGTCCGCAGCACGTGGTGTTTTGCACTGAGAATTTCAGATTTTACATCATGTCTTGTGCAGATTAGAGTAGATACCTCACACAAAGTACCTGGTTATATTTTTATTGTCCTTTCGGGGCACGAGTTTGCTAGCTTTGTCCTCCTTTCTGCAGGGCAGAGTAGAGCAGTGACTTCCATGAAATTAAAATTACAAATGGGGGTTCCGAATCCTGCACTTTTTATTGCCTCTCCCGAGGAGCATGGAGACCGATCCGTACGTCGTGCATGCACGTCAAGTTTTCTTTCGCTCACTGTGAGAGGTGATTCTTTGCGCTGTATCCTTTCTCGTGACTCGGACATCTGATTTTGCTCTTTTTACGAGGCGGAAAGATGCTGAAGCAAGCGAGAATTGAGCTCGGATCAGAACTCTGAAATATTTTCGCCAGCTCGTCGCAGACCCTTTGTTTCACCTTTGAAATACTGGGAAGACCAGTCACTGCTCCATCAGCATAACAAACCTCTAACTATCATTGAGGGACACCTATAAAAGCTGTTTATTCAAGGCAAACCATTGGTTCCCACCATTAGAAACCTGCATATTACTCCGAAAACAGTGAAGAGCAAGGGGACGCTAAGTTTGTTTGTACCCAGAAATTTCGTTGGCATGCGTTGTCAAGTATGTGTGACGTCATCACTTCGAAGCCCTATGCAGGCAGCAACATGTGTCGGTATAAATGGATGAGGTGTTGTTTTGTTTGTGTATATGTGTGCGCGCGTGCTTTCGTGTATGTGCGTGTACGTGTGTGCGTGTGTGTGTGTGTGTGTCTTTCAGACACTGAGTGAAGAGGAATACCATCAACTGCAGGGGCTGTGCTACATGTCATCATCATCCGTATGTCTTGCTAGGCCTTCTCTGCCTTCTATGTTTGTTCTCTTTGTCTCTTTCACTTCAGTAGTTAGCCAGAAAAACATTGAGTGCGTTGACTAAGGCTAATTTGTGTATGCCGGTAATTATGTTTGCCTGCTGACTGGTGTGATTGAGATCTGATTTATTTGTATACAGAACAGGTGTATGCATGGAGTGCAATGTGGATCGGTTAAGCTCTTATGTTTGCATGTGTGCACACTTGTGTGTGTGTGTGTGTGTATGTGTGTGTGTGCGCGCGTGCGTGTGTGTGTGTGTGTTTGAGCGTTTGTGTGTGTGTGTGTGTGTGTGTGTGTGTGTGTGTGTGTGTGTGTGTGTGTGTGTGTGTGTGTGTGTGTGTGTGCATGCATGCGTATGTGCGTGTTTGTAGGGTGAAATGAGTCCGTACTTGGGCAAGATCATGTGTACGCTATACACACAAGGTTTCTTTGAAGGCATTAGTGCGATCACGCAGCTGCCCCATGCAGCTACGCATTTGCCCTCCCATCTTGTTTTGGGCCTTGTGGATATTGTCAGCTTGGTAAGTAGCATGCATTTGTTGTTTTGATCTTTTGAATGCATTCTTGAATTCGGCTTTGTGAAAAAATATTTGTCTTGTAGGCAAAGGCTGATGCCTCACTTACATTTATCATGTAACTCTGTTGTTCCAGGTGCAGTGGAGATTGGATATAACGACCTTGCATAGAACGACAAATCGAGTTTAGCGACGACATTCTGTTGCCCAAGTCGTTTAGCAAGTCCTTTCCGTACATTTTAGATCAAGTATAACGACCGCGAAAATAACGACGGATCGAATTTACTGACACTTTTTTTGGTGCCCGAAGATCTGAAAATACATAGAGTATAACGACTTTATGAACTCAGATGGTGAGCCAAGGAAAATATTGTAACATCGATCGCATAACTTGTGCCTCGATTTTTCCATGTTACTATATAACGACTTTCCTCTTGTATCAGGCGGATCCGGAGTGGCATGCTTGGAGCATGGCTGTGTCACGTGCCTGGACCTCCAGATTCCTCTGCGCGTGCTGTACATTGCACATGTGTAGCCGCAGTGCAGCGGTGTAGTTGCCGTGCATGGTTTTTGGCTTGAACTATGCATGCAAGATACATGCACATGCACGTCTGAAATCCACATGCATTATTATGCACATGCATATCTGCAATGCATATCTGCAATGCATATCTGCAATGCATATCCGCAATGCATATCTGCAATGCATATCTGCAATGCATATCTGTTTTTTTGATGTAGAGGGGACGGCTCGATACCGGGACGTTTTGACAGCCAAATTTGTATAGACCCAAACCGATCATCAGCGTTGATTTTTCACTCGAAATATGTTTGTGGAAGGAAACTGGCATGTTGAAGTTTGCTCTGGGGCCAGAGTCAATCGAACTGAGCCACTCCTTTGTGTTGACCCATTGCCTCCAAGTTGCCCAATTTTTCGCTTCAAAAAAGTTCAAATCAGAGGTGGCTCCAAACCGGACACGTTTTAGAGTGCACGTCAAATTCACTCTGGGTCTGAAATTAGGTAATTGCTATCGCTCCACGACGGCCAGTACAGAGTAACAATAAGCCTTGTGTGTGCTTCCATTAGTTTTGATTGGTATGCGGTGCTTTATTGGCGAGAGGCGAGCCGCTGTTTACCTGCGACAAGAAGTTGATTTTTCGAAAGTCGTAAAACTCAAGTCGCAGTGCGAAGCAACACGTCAAAAACTCACCTGCTTGATATGGCGCTTCTGGTCATCGCAGAGCCATGAAATTTTGGCTCGGAGAATAACTCATCGTAGTCTCACTGTGACATATGTTTTCTAATCAAAATACCAAGAGAGAAAGTGAATATTGAGTCCGTTCCGGTTTGCAACCGGTGTCCTATTTGAAACCGTCCCCTCTACATGTACAGTCATATTGCATACTAAATGTGAAGATCGGGTTTAGTGATAGATCCAGTATAGTGACTTTTGTTTTCTCCCGAAGGAGTGTCGTTATATAATCCAATCTCCACTGTACCTTTACACTTCCAATCTCCACTGTACCTTGACACTTCCAATCTCCACTGTACCTTGACACTTCCAATCTCCACTGTACCTTGACACTTCCAATCTCCACTGTACCTTGACACTTCCAATCTCCACTGTACCTTGACACTTCCAATCTCCACTGTACCTTGACACTTCCAATCTCCACTGTACCTTGACACTTCCAATCTCCACTGTACCTTGACACTTCCAATCTCCACTGTACCTTGACACTTCCAATCTCCACTGTACCTTGACACATACCTAGTACATGTACTCTGATAAACCTACGCGTGCTTAGTACAGACATTCTTTTTTTTTTAGGTGTATTGCTTCACAGTGAAGTGCATTCGGATACGAAGTACCTTGGATACTGAGGCCGCGTTCGAATTGTCTTCATCAACTGTTCAAACAAATTTTTAAAAGAGATTAGTTGAAGTGTCCCGTGAGAACGGTTTCTATCATTGTAGAGTTTTTCAGTGGAAATGTCATGGCGATGATGACGTCCGGTCAGATCGACCATCTCCACGTACTACGTGACGTAGCTATTCCAAACTCTTCGGAACTAATCCACCTCTCCCATCGGATGAGATTGTGGAGTTTTGAGGAGTTTTGAGGAGCTTCGTTTTTCTGAAGAGGCCAATAAGGCCACCTCTTCAGAAAAACAAAACTACTCGAAAAGTCAAAGAGTGACAATTCGAACGCGCCCTGAGTAGATTGTGCTGTTCACCGTCCAGTCCGTCTTGTCTAGAGTTTCTTCGTGTGGTCACTGTCCAGTTCTGATTGGGTGCAGAAGGAATTGAACGGTGTCAATGTTGTTGTTGTTGTCTTTGTCTGTGCACGTGTGCAGGTGCGGGAACACCTGCAGGCGTCCGTTTGTACCAGTGTGATCAGGGCGATGCGAGCACCAGTTTTCAAGTGAGTCGCTTCTCCTTTGCCGAGGCCTGTGTAACATTGTTTAACATTGCTGTGCTTTTAAATTGAGCCTCTAGATCCCGGAAAGTCGTTTTTGAGCATTAAAAAAAAAAGCTTTTAAGTGCCATGAAATTGCTGTAGTCCAGCAGATCACCGTGCAAAAATCTCAGTCAAAAAGATCTTCATTATTAATATAGGTGTGTTGATAACTGTATTTACATTTCTTTATACATGTTGCCTGATGATTGCGAAAGCATGAGACTCTGAGTAGCGACTAACAAGCCTTGATTGCCCTTGTTGTTCTGTGTATTGTGCTCTGCCTCCGCGGTGTTGAGCACTGTCAGCACACTGGCTGCATCCTCCGGGGCATCTCTTTATACATTACACTCAACTTTCAAATGCATTTCTCTCAACACTGTGTGAAGCTACAGTAGCCCCCCTTTTTCGGATCTGGAGGCTCAAGTTTAAAAGGCGCTGTCCTGCACGGAGTCTGGCATCGTGTGCCTGGTGTTGCAGGGTACCTGGTCTATTTCGCAACACGTACAGTGCTGGCATCCTGTAGGGAGCTGTAGTTTACAAGTTGTTGATGTTGGCGCCAGTTGCAGCCATTGCCACGCCGTTTAAATGGCGATTTTTCACCAAACTCCTGTTCTAAAAGAAGTGAGCAATTTGATTGCATGCTGTCTCTGAATTTTGCCATAAATCTCAGGGTGGTCACCACGTTGTTCCTGGGATATTGAAGTTCGAACATTAGAATATTTCCGAAGATCCCCCCTCCCCCCCCCCCCCCCCCCCCCCCCCAGAATTTGAAAATTATAGGGAGTGAACGATCAGGAGCTAACTAAGGGTTATCCTGTCCGTGTCTGTGTGTCCGCATATGTGTGCGTGTGCGTGCACCTGTGCATGCATGTTTGTCTGTCCGTCTGTCTGTTCGTTTGTCCATCTGGTCTGTCCGTCCGTCTGTCTGTCTGCATCTCACACAAATACATGCACACCTGCTAGGTACTTTATCAGCTTATCAGATGACAAGTTACGTTGTCACTCTCAGTTCGACTTCATTGAGCGATTGCAAGCTAGACTTAAGATGCCAGGACCACTCCCACCCGATGAAGGGTAGGTGGATTTGAATGCTTTCTGGGTATTGCAGGTCAAGATAGAATCGAGGGTTCTTCCCCGTCCTTATCCATCGTACCCCTATAATTCCCCCTTACTCTAGTTTGCTTTCTTTCGTCTTCCACAAGCCCACCCACCCATCACATCCCTACTCTATGTTAGCCCCCCCCCCCCCCCTCCCCTTCCAGTGCTATGCCGCATCATTCAATCTGAGGCCTCAGGTCAGTCAAGGTGCTCTAGAACTCCCCACCACTTCTGCTGCTGCTGCTGCTACCCCTGCTGCTGCTGCCTCTGCCGCCGCCTCCGCTGCTGCTGCTGCCTCTCCTATGCAGCCCAGCTGCCCTAGGTTGTTGTCTGTTCGTAGAAAGAGATGACAACATGCTCAGTCACAGCATTGCCAGAGATCCATGTACATGTGCTACTCATGTTCAGCATGGTGTAGTGTGTAGGTAGCCGAGCTTTGCTGGCAGAGGATTTAGAATGTTAGCCTGCGTACTGTTGTACCCTACATGTAGATGATGTCACCAAGAAGCCAAGATGGTGCACCCTCCTAAGTTGCTGCGCGTTACTCAAATAGCGCAAGAAGTCGTTAAGATGTCCAAGTGCCCGGGGGCGTTGTTGATGGGCTTACTAGTTAGTTTGATTGGTTGGCGAGGGTTTAGTGTGTTGCCCACTGTACCACAGGTATTACCGTAAAAGTCCGTAAATTGGTATCTGCGCTAAATATATTATACTCTCTTGGGCCTTCATCCTTTTGACTCTTGTCTGTTGAAGTCAAGTTTAGCCCGATAAACATACTGTCCGAAATAAGTACTGGTACGGTTTGCACATGCGGCAGAGCGTAGCATGTACATTTACATGACAAATGACTTCTGCCCTACACACAAGTCAGGCCCGAAAGTTAGTTCATGCCCGAAAATCAGTTCCCGCCCGAAAGTTAGTACGGGTGTGACCGCTAAATTCGAGAGTAAGTACGTACTTATTCACGGACTTTTACGATATCATCTTTGTCCGTCACCTAACTACCGGCGGCATGCGTATGGCCAGTGGCTTGTCAGCATTGTTAGAGTGATACGACTTGTGTGTATTTCTGACTGCACCCTGATCTTGGCCATGTCTACTGCTCTCTACCCGTGCGTGCAGTCAGCTTGCTTTGGCGTTAACGTTGCGCTACTTGCGCTCAGAGTTCATCAACATTCGATTTTCTGCAATGCACAGTTTGCTGGTGAGTCCAACTTTGGTATTCAATGAAACCTTTTATTATTAGTTGGTGTAGTCATACTTCAAAAGTAGGATACTGTGCGTTCAGAAACATGATGCATTCAGAAACCTGATGCATTCAGAAACACGACTGGTATTCTATTTCTCAATACAGTAGAACTCTCGGATAAGACCTACCCCCTTTGGCAGCAAGACAATGTACTGGTTGGTAGGATCTCTGTTACTACCTTGAGTGTAAGGAGCAATCTGTCATTGTGATATTTTGCATGCTGTGAACAGTTTTCTTGATTCTAGCGTTTTTCGTATGGATTAACGCAGCATGGTCCCTGGCCCACTTGCTTCCGTTAGAGTGTTTGTTCTGTTGCTGTCTGGGTAATTGGAAGTGCCCATGTGTGCCCAGGCTCTCTCCTCTCTCTCTCTCTCTCTCTCTCTCTCTCTCTCTCTCTCTCTCTCTCTCTCTCTCTCTCTCTCTCTCTCTCTCTCTCTCTCTCTCTCTCTCTCTCTCTCTCTCTCTCTCTCTCTCTCTCTCTCTCTCTCTCTCTCTCTCTTTCTCTGTGTGTGTGTGTGTGTGTGTGTGTCTGTGTCTGTTTCTGCCTCTGTGTCTGCCTCTGCCTATCTTCAGTTATGCCTTAATCTAATCTATGTTTTTTTCTTTCTTTTCTTTTGTGCGCAGTTCATGATAAGGTCCTTCCAATTTATGGACAAAGAAATTGTCCGATTCCATGCCAACTCAGCGTACGTTCGCTTCTCTTGATTTTTGCCACTGGTTTTCTGTTTGGTGTTCAACGAAATCTGAAACAAAACAATAAAGGTCACAACCAATAAAACATGGGGATTTGGCTTTGATAGTACACTGCACTATGTTGGCACAGTATAGTATGTAACTAGCTGTCCCAACCCACTGGGGCCGAGGAAGGAAGGAGGGATGCCATGCATTCAGTTTTGCACTAATACTTCTGGTTGCTTGTGCAACTAGTTGTCCAATGACTCTGTTTGATGAGAAATCTGATTTCACACGCCAGGAAGTCCAGGGCAGGATGTTTTGCTTTTGTGTGTTGGTATTGATGATTTATATTTTGTAATAACGGGATATCGATTGGGTTGACCGAAGGCTATGGGAGCTTATCGGTGGGCCGTGGCGGAGTGGTCCTATTGAATTAGGCATGTGGTGTGGTGGCGCAGTGGATTGATGTTAGAAGTGGTTTCTTGCATTGAACATACTTGTAGCTATGGACAGCCCTGATATCTGCCTGGTGTAGAGTCGCTAAGCCACGGCGGACCACTGTTTCAGTGGGCACTTGCTTTTATCTGAGTGTGTCGCATATATCTTCCTTGTTGTTTGTGGTGACAGGTCACGCGAGCTTGCGGTCTGGATGGTTGATAATCGAATTGTGGAGCTGCTGTTTGGGCCAGATCTTCATGTGGAGGTATAGCATACAATGCCTGCTACTGCTTGCATCTTATTACCGCAATGCTTTGAAATGCTAACTAATAAAGCACGTTACTTGCTGTTGCTCCGAGTTGCACCCTGCGTGCACTCATATCTCGCGTATCTGGTCGGCCCGGGACTGGGCACTGCATTTCTATTATTTTTACAGTACCAACAAAGCAACTCAGCGCAAAGGGTGGTGTGAATAGCAACTGAATAGAGCGGTCGTCAGTTGCCAAGCGCCTTTTTTTTTCTTCTTTCAACCTCTATTGTGTACTATCATTGCATGCACTTGAGCTCCTGCCACCCAAAACGAGCAGACGATCGGTAGAGAAAGTAATCTTTGTGACACGGGCTACTCTAGGACTGTATCCTGTAACCCGGGCTATGCTGGATCCGGTGCTAGATTGCTCAGATTTGAATCCGTCGAATTCAGATCTGGATTCGGCAAAGCGAGCATGTACAGAACTCAACGCACTTCTTACCAGTTAGTGCATGCGCATGTATATGATGGTGGACCCGGAGTCGGGGAACATCCTGCCCATCTGGGCTGCTGGGCCAATGTCGAACAAAGGCAATGCAATGGATCTGTCAAGCGGCGCAAGATGTACAGTAGAAGTATACATGCAATTCAAAGTAGTAAGTACTTGAGTAGAGTTGAGTAGAACAAACTGCAGTTTCTACCATGTGCCTGTGATGTGACAGTGCGGAACTAGAAACCTCTCTGTGGCGTGATAGTGTATTGACTTGCTGATGTTCCTGTGTTGTTTTTGCTGCAGCTTGTCAAACTCTGCCCGGGTCTGCTCCTGTTCATGGCAACCCAGGGATGCATGCAGCGCAAGCAGCTCGAGAGCATCTGGCGCAGCACTCGCATCCAACACAGCTGCCGTGCCGCCCACGATGCTCTCTTGGGCATCTACAAGTCGTTGTCACGGGACTGCCATCAGTTCCTGATCGAGGAGCATCAGCGACTGTCGCCATCCACCATGACAGCACTTGACGTCCAGCTACTGGCTTATGTAACACAAGAACTCATGCTACAGCAAAGGCGTGCACGACAGGTCGTATGCAAGGTTAGTTTTGTGTCTTGGATGGATATTATTATACTCTGCTAGGAGAGAAAGAAACGGAGAGAGAGAGAGAGAGAGAGAGAGAGAGAGAGAGAGAGAGAGTGAGAGTGAGAGAGAGAGAGAGAGAGAGAGAGAGAGAGAGAGAGAGAGAGAGAGATAGACTAATAACAAGAGAGAGATAGGGGTCAGGGTACGACGAAAAACTTGCGCCGAACTCCAATATGTTCAGCATGCAAAGACGATGTTGAATGATGTGAAGACTCCTATGCAGCATCATATTTGTAGAAAAGTACTAGTACCGTACTGGCAATATATGTTGCCGCGTAACGCGTAACGCAGGGGGGTGCGGCGTAACGCGCGACCAGGCTAGTGCGACAAATTTTCGTTGCGTTCGTAACGCGCGTCCGGCGGGGTGCGGCGATCTTTTCATTGCAAAAAAGGCTGAAAACTGTGAAAGCACGTGTACCGCGTGGTGAAAAGTTTAAAACTGGACGCAGCAGGAAGTCCTGTAATAGCAAAAAAAAGGACTGCGGCAATATAGAAACCTGTGTAACGGCTCCTGTGCGACTTTGCATGTAACGCCCTGCGTGCGGTAAACATGTGCCAATGTAACGCTTCATGGCCTCACTGCGACCATATATATTGCCAGTACGGTATGTAAAATGTGCGGGGAGAAAGGGAAGGAGGGAGGAAGCACAGACTGGGACTGCCAGAGTCAAGTAGAAAAATACAATACAATACTTGGTCCGGCTCATCGCAATTGTCGCTTATCTATCGCCACTAAGAACAGGAGTTTTGTTACCGCTCTGTGAAATTTCCAATAGGTATAGTGAAGAAGCATGGTACATGAATACTCTCCGCCACAAGAAAAAAATTCTTCTATGGAATCTGGTGAAGCGAGTCGAAGAAGGGAAGCAAGGAAGCAAATGCACAAAATAAATCAGCGAATGAGCTCGTTCTTGCACTCATACTCTTACAGGTCCAGAGTTCTCAACTCTGCATCACTGCAGAGCTGACATTTGCTGGTGTCTAGCTGCTGGCGTAGACTGGTAGAGTATCTCTTGCTTTCTCAGCCTGTCGTATGGCAGCAATGGCAAGGGAACAGTTGTGGCTGTCACTTCGGTACTTGAAGGAACCTGGGCAGTGTGACCTGTGTGTCACCACAGTGCGTTTCAACAAAGCCTTCGAATGAGGCATACAGGCATCTCCAGACAGCTGTCATACGCTCTGCTGCCCGTCATGCTCTCCAGGGGTAGCTGCGTTTGGCTTTTGGCAACACAGACAGTGAATTACCAGATTCCCACTTCCTAAAAAAAGTCGAACACGTCACGATTCAAAGCGCTAGTCGTGATCATTTTTCTTTGGGGCCTCCTTTGATCTTGCCATCACAACCTCCCAAGCAAAGGTAAGTTAGATATCGCGATTGGACTGGGTTTTACCTGTCAAAAAGTGTGTGGGAGATAAGCGACAATTGCGATGAGCCGGACCAAGTACAATACAATGTGGTATGAATGTTGGAGCTGAATATTGCGATGAAGTCATTAATCTAAATGAGCGTACTGATGTCTCGTTTTCTGTGCTGTTGTCGTCGTCGTTGTTGTTTGTTTCCTGCAGAACAACAACAATGTATGCAGCACCAGCAATATGGTGACTGTTAAGCCTATATTGGTACCAGTAGACACTGCTGCAATCTTAGCTAATCAACCAACACCTGAATCGGGTGAGCTGGAGGATGCTGACGATGAGCGAAAGTCGGGAGAAGACATGGATGTGGATCAACAGGCTGATGTCGCTGCAGGAAATACACCATCGGCATCGCCCGATGTTGGGGCAGAGCGATCGCGCTCGCCTCATCTTACCCGCAGTGACTCGGTCGAATGGCCAGTCGAGCCTCAGTCTGGTATAATTGCTTATGAAAAGAACTTGTCCAAGAGCAAAGCAACCAATATGCGACCAACGGCTGTGATTGGGCCCATGCGGCCCACAGCTATGACTTCAGCTATGGTAGAAGACGACTCTGATCTGTCATCGGGTGAATCTGAGTCTGACATTGACGAGCTTGTGTCTTTATCGCCTGGTCCCCCACCTGGCTTTTACCGAAGAACTGCCAATCTTGCTTCAAATTTGGCCATTCAGCGCTTATTGCAGCCGCCCAGCCCTGGTGATACAGAGGAGGCGAAGGTGTGGCCAGATGGCCTTGCGGTTCTCTGGAAAGTGGCACAAGATGTAAGTGCAGTGAAGTGGCCATACCTGTGTTTCATGTGCTTGCGTTGCTATCATTGTCGGTGCATGTGGGATGCTCGACTACCGACTAGTACCGTGTGGTCAGCACTATTGACATGTGTACTTGCTTCTGCAGAATACTATTAAATTATTCAGTGTGCCCGTATACCTTTCTGACTGTGTGCGCTGCGGTGCTTTTGGCTGTCAGGCCGATGTTGATAGTGGAATGGCAAATTCATGTTGCATGTGTGTGTATGCGGTGTTTTGATTGCCAGCTCGATGTCGATAGTGGGGTGGCGAAGGAGGCTCTCGTTCACTTTATTCAGTGTTTGGTGAACACTTGCGCTCGTGAATCCACCTACTTCAATTCCTTTGTGGAGGAATGCCTACAGAACATTGCTGCCAATAAGTAAGTTTGTGTATCGTTGGAGAATGCATTCCATCGTGTATGCAACGTACTGAGGCAAAATGTCCGCAATTCTCAGTTGTACCCATCATCATACAATATGTACGTCATTGTGTTCGTTGCAATGAATGCAACCATCATACACTTCTCCAGTGTGTTTTGCATGTGCATGTACATACATATAAATGTACATGATTCCATCCAGGTTGCGGCATGGTGTAGAGGAGACGGTTTCAAATAAGAAATAGGTTGCAAATCGGACCGGGCTCAATATTCACTTTCTCTCTTCGTATTTTGATTAGAAAACATGTCGCAGTGAGACTACGATGTGTTTTACTCGAGCCAAAAGTTCATGGCTCTGCGATGACCAAAAGCTCCATACCAGGCGGGTGAGTTTTGCCGTGTTGTTTCGCGCTGCGACTTGATTTGAACGTCTTTCGAAATATCAACTTCTAGTCTTCTCGCCTCTCGCCAATAAAGTACCGTATACCAATGAAAACTAATGGAAGCACACACAAGGCTTATTGTTTCTCTGTACTGGCCGTCGTGGAGCGATAGCAATTACCTAGTTTCAGAACTCAGGGTGAACTTGACGTGCACTCCAAAACTGTTCTGGTTTGGAGCCACCTCTGTGACACCAAAATTTGAAACGAAAAATCAGGCAACTTGGAGGCAACGGGCCAACACTAAGGAGTGGCTCAGCTCGATTGACTCGGCCTCAGAGCAAACTTCAACATGCCAGCTTCCTTGCACAAACATATTTCGAGTGAACAGTCCACGCTGATGATCGGTTTGGGTCTACACTATTTTGCTGTGAAACCGTTCCTATTTGAAACCGTCTCCTCTACATTATTTTATACATGTACGTGCAAGTATAATTATGTACAAGGTAATATGACACATGGTACAGACTACAGAGTGCATGAACTAGGTACCCCAGCAGTGCTGTGGGCACGCGAGAGTGTCAGCATTTCGTATTTCACAGGTGACCCCATTTTCAAGCGTCTGTGCATACTTACTAAGAATGACATGTACACAATCAATGGGACTGTGACGAGATGTCCTCAGTTTACAGGTGTCCGCTTTTCTTGGTTGTCCGCAAGGACAGGTTTGGCTGTAGCTGCTGCATTCCATTATCTCCACCTTTGCAATGGTTAGTCAACATTATGCCCACACGGCTAGTCCTGCAGTTTTACTTGCTTTATCATTAGAAGAACGTGGCTGCTTCTTTTACATTTACCGCCTAAGTTCCAACATCTCAGTTCGTATTGCTTTGTCCTTACTTGGTCTTCCATCTTTTGGCATGTGTGTGTGTGTGTGTGTGTATGTGTGTGTATGTTTGTGTATGTTTGTGTGTGTGTGTGTGTGTGTGTGTGTGTGTGTATGCGTGTGTGTGCGTGTGTGTGTGTGTGCGTGCGTGCGTGTGTGTGTGTGTGTGTGTGTGTGTGTGTGTGTGTGTGTATGTGTGTGCCTGTGTGTGTGTGTGTGCGTGCGCGCGCGTGCATATGCTGCAGGTCGGTTGAAGCATCCCTTAATGTACTGAAGGCGATTGTGGAAAAACGACGTCTTAGGTCAGTGACGATTAACTGGGACGGGATGAGGGTTAAGGGTCGATCCTAATTATTCGGTTGTGTATTTGTCATGATTATCATGGCTTGTGAGCTGCTCCAGTCACCTTTTTCTCTCCATGCCAGGGGTAGTCACTGAATGCTGGAGCCCTCCCCCCCCCTTGTTTTGTCATTACGAATCCGTGTCTATTTGCTATAGATGGGTTGTATTTCTTTGCATACCGTACTGACACGCATTTAAGCGCATGTGCCTATATCCGGGCGTAAGGGCACCCTCACAAATAAGCGCATCGGCTTATAAGTTATAAGTGAACCTGAATGCAATTCTATCCGCGACACACGTACTCCATAAAAACACCATGTTCCCATAGTTTAATGTGCAGTGCGTTATCGCACTATTTGCATAATTATACAAGGTACCGGTACACTAGCAGCTCAAGCGCATGCGCCTATGTGTGAGACAAAACGACCCGCAGAAAATAGCA